AATTTTACGATATTTCAAATTATTCAAAATTTTACTATATTTCTAAATAAAACGATTGAAAATTTTACAATATATCAAAATATTAAAAATTTTACGATATTTCGAAATATTGAAAGTTTAACGATATTTTAATATAATAAAAATTTTACCATATTAAAACTTTCAATATGTTTTACGATATTACAAAATTTTGAACATTTAACGATGTCTCGAAAATCATGAAAATTTTACGATTTTTTGAAAATCTTGAGTTTTACGATATTTCCAAATATCATGAAAACTTTACGATATTTCGAAAATCTTGAAATTTTTACGATATTTCAAAATATTGGAAATTTTGCCGTGTTACAAATATATATAAATTTAACGATATTACAAAATATTGAAAATCTAACGATATTTAGTTTTTCCACAAATTCAATATTTTCAAATTTAAGGTTTAGTTTTATGTTTTTTAATTTTGCGCTATTTCAAAACTAAGATTTTGCAATATGTCAACGTTATAACAAAGAATTTTTAATAATTAACACAGTTTTTATATTTCAACACAAATTTCAAATATTTTTGTGAAAAATTGAAGAATTTTCTACTTTGAACATACCTAATATTTCGAAATTTAACATATTTTCAATAATATCGTTTCAATTCAAGTGTTTCATTCCAATTTAACTATTTGCAACATTTTTTTAATGAAAACAACTTTCCTTATATTATTTACCCTTGACTGTAACATATTTACACTTTAACAGTGTATCAATTGGACGTTTACTATAAAAAACGCCTAAAAAAGGTAAAAGAAAAAGCACAAACACATGATTGTTTTTGTTTACAAAAGAACATGAACATTGTTTTTCTGGCAGGGTGGTGCTGTTCTAAGCTAAGCCACAAACCACATTTACATGTTTAGCTACATGATAGAAAAAGAAGGGGAAAGGAAAATTAAGAAAAAATTAAGCTGCAATAGAGTTTAACTTAAAAAATAAAGAAAAATTATATAACAATATTATAAAAAAAATTAAACAAAATATATAAAAAACACTTTAAAACTTATTAAAATATATAAAAAAACACTTTTCAAAACACTTCAATTTTAATGGATTTAGTTTAGTTAAAAAAAGAGAAACTAGTTTTTATTATTAAAACAAGATAAAGCAGCAGCTAAGCCTCTGCCGCTAGCTGCTGCACTGCTTACTGTGTATGGTTTTAGTTTTTCTTTTGGAGTTAATTTTGCAATTTTTGTTTTAAATTTTTTTAAATAAACACAAATTTTTTGAGTAAATATTAAACGCGTTTTAAGAATTTTTAAATTAATTAAAATCGATGTAGTGATAGTAGTAGCAAAACATTTACGACAAATTCACAGCAATCGAGAAGAGAGTGTGGGGTTTACGTCATTATAGTACAGCATTAATAACAACTACAACTTACTTATTACTTTGTTTTTTTATAAATAACAAAACAGCGGCCATTAATTTGTTTTCTTTAGGTTTGTTTGTTGGTGTATTATGCATGTTAAGTTTTTTTTTGAGAGACGTTAGCAGAGCAACAAAAACAACAATAGAAAATCAATACCAGATTTTTTTTTTGTCTTCTCTACACTTTTGCTTCATAAGTATACATACAAAAACAATGACGTATTTATGTATGTAGGAAAATATGTATTTGTTTTTGGTTTAAACAGCAAAGGGGGGATTAGGTGTGTAGAAAAAAAATTGCCATTTTATTGAAATTTGTTTTATATTGAAAAAAAAAACTTGTTTGCTTATTAAATTACCTTGAGAAAAACACGTAATTACACTTTTTTCAGGTTTTGCATACATTAATTATTATAAAAAAACACTTTTTCCAAAATTAATCATAATCCCCAGGTCTCTTTCTCTCTGCTAACTTCTCTTTTGGTCTATACATCAAACAACACTCTCTTCTTTTTATAAGACAAAAATAATGGGTTTTCTTTGTTTTTAAAGCCTTAGCTTTACAAAAATCTTAAGATTTTAAGAAATCTTATAACAAATTTATAGAAAATTAAATTTTCTATTTTATTAGAAAAAAAACTGAAGAAAATCCCAACGCGTAATTGAATTTTTTCAGTTTTCTCTTTGCTTGTTCATGATGTCTTGCCTTTGTACTTTTAACAAAAACAAAATACCAAAGGAAAAAAACAACAAAGTCAATAAAGGTAGTATTTGCTAGCTCTTTCTGTCTCATGTGTTGCCAAGCCATTTAAATTGTATTTGGGCTGCTATTTGCCCTATACATACATACAAACAAACAACCAACCATGCATACATTTTCTTTTTAAAAGAAAAAAAATCAAATTTTTCTTTGCTTTTTTTCTCCAGCAAATTATTTATTTGAAATTTTTCTTTTTTAAAAAATTTTACTATTAAAGGCCGTAGTTGTTGTTTTTGCTTAATAAAAAAGAAAAAATTACATAATTCTTTCCTCTATATAGCAAAAAGCAAACTCAATCAATTAAAAAAAAAATTAGTTGTTTAAAAAATGTATGTATAAATACTAATAAAAAGTAATGGTCTTCTTCTTATATAGTAGTACAATTATTACTTAGGGTATATTATATATATATATATATCTTGCTTTTGTTTTTGACTTTTTATATACTTTAAAAATGATTACAAATCCAACTTTTCTTCTTTTTATATTTTTATTAACATGTGTTAACAATTCAACAATTTCAACTTGAATGAGACATTTATCTGGTTGCCAGCTAAAACAACGCCTTCGTTTTTGCCAAACGCTGTCGCGCACTCTGCCACAGGCGGCTAGCTTCGCTGCGGCGTAATTAGTGCAATGCTGGCTTCGCTCTGCACAAAATACACACAGAGAGCGAGTAGAGAAAGGTTGGTGTTGCCCTATTTAGGGATTATGTTTTTTGTTTAAATTTAAAGTAAATTCTATAAAAAATCCTTAAATTTAATAAAATTTTTATTTAAAATTCCTAAACTAAAGGAATATTTGTAGGAGGGAATGGAAATACTTATAGTTTATCCATTTGCTTTTAAATGCAGCAAAATTGAAATCCCATAGCCATTTAAGGGTTAAAATTAAATATATATACAGTGTCTGACATAAGTGTTACAGCAATATCTATTAAAAACAATATTTAGCAAAATTATAGATTTGGAATTTTACAAGAGCTAAAAAATTAGAATTTTTTAAGATATTATTAACATTTCCATATTTTTAAAAATTAAAAAAAACTTTTGTTTGACACTATACTTGCATACATTCCTGTATACAAATATTCATATCATTGAATTTGTTTTTGTACTTGCTATGTTACTACGTTGCCATCTCGGTCCCCCTTTGAAGTTCTATATTTTCAAAATTCCTAACTTTCGATTGAATTGTTAAATACGAAACTAAAAAATTTAAGAAAATTAGTTTTGATAAAAATAGCAAATTAACTAAACTTTGTAATTATCTCTATATATATTCGACCATACGAGTCTATATCTCTAATAGAATCTAAGTTCTTTTTACTAATAATTAACTTTTAAATTCCCCCACTTTAAGCGACAAATCTTACAAGTCTGGCAACACTAACGGTATTATTAATTACGTATTTGTTTATACATCTGTACATACAAGTAGTATGTTTTTATCTAAATCCTGTTTACTACACATTTTCTAAAAATTATAAAGATTTTTTTTTTATAAATAGAAGACTCATAAGAAAAAAATTAAAATCAAATTAGTATTAAACCAGATATTAATAAGAAACCGGAACCAAATACACCATATAAAGAGAAACATACATTTCTACAGCTGAGGTCAGAATAATATACAAACCCAGCAAACAATATTATTACTAATTAAATTGAAGACTAAAAAATAATCATTTAATCAGTAACCGCTTAAAAATTTTCAGTATAAATCTAGATTTTTCATTATTCAAAGTAAATTATAGATTTTTTTAAATAATATTAAAATAAATAATGAGTTTTAAAAAAAAGTAATCGAGTAAATCGCTTTATACTTTTCAATACAATTGATTTTTCTTTAATATTTTCTACTAAGTTATGAATTATTTAAAACATTTTTTTATAAATTTTAAGTAATTCTCAAACGGTTACCCAGTAAATATAAATGGTTACTCGTTATTCGTTTTATTAATATTATGAAAAAACATTTTTCATTCTTGTTTTTAATAAATTTTTGTATTTTAATAACGAATTATGTAAAATTTAAAAGATTTTCAAATGAGTATCTGAGTAACCATTTTAGAAATCATGTTAAGATTAATTTTAAATCAAAATTTTCAACCAAATTATGTTTTTTAATGAAATTCTCAAAATTAAAAAATTTTGAAATGGTTACTTATGTATGTGATAATGATTACTAGTAATTGTCGAACAAACTTATCTAAAATTTGAAATTTTGAACTCATTTTTTAGCATAAATAATAATGGTTACTCGGTAACCGTTTAATAAATCTTACAAAAAACACATTTCTGCACACATTTCAATGATTTTCAAACCAATTTATTAAAAATTATATTAATTTCATTATCTTTTATGTATTATGAAATTTTGAAATAAATTTTAAGCAATTTTTAACGGTTACTTATCAGAATAAAAATGGTTACTTGATAAGAACTTTGAAAATTTTATTATTTTCTTTTCTACACATTTTTTCAAAGAAATTTTAAAAATTTTAAAAATTTCAAACAAGGAGAAGTTTTCAAGCGTCTATCCATCTTAATGTGGTGGTAATGTAATGGTTACTCGGTTACCTTTTAAGAAATTTGTCTAGAAATCATTTTCCATTATTATTTCCTATAAATGATCAACTTTCTTTTAGTATTTTTTTAAATTTTAAAGATTTTGCAAACGAGTAGCCGAAATTTTTTAAATTTCAACTTATGTTTAAACGATTACTTGGTAACCAATTATATTTTCTATAAAATTATACATTTTTTATATATTTTATTAAATTTGGTTTAAAATTTCTCATATTTAAGGAATTAAGCGATTTTTTCTAAAAAAAATACATCTGGCATCCCGGTGTGTTTAATAAACCTTTGGTTAACACTAACCAAAGATTGTATTGTTTTAGAATTTTTGCAACAAATTTAAAGAAAATATTTGAAATAAATTCTCTAATAAAAGTTATCTATTTCCCTCGAGATTAGCTTTAATCTCTGGTTAAATATAAAACAAAATAACACATATTTGTTATTGAAATCCCGTTATTTCAAATTCCTACAAACAAAATGAAACAAAAAGAGAAACGTACGCGGTAAATATAAGTTTGTTATTGATATAAAAGTCTCCCTATATTTATGGTCTTTTTCCCAACAGTTGCCAAAATTTCTCCCTACAGGAAGAAGACATCCTCATCTCTTTAGTGGAACAATATAAAGATATAGTGGAGTCCAAGAAAATCGATGGCAAAACATCGAAAGAAAAACACGCAACATGGGAACAGATACAAAATGCCTTCTGTACACATACAGGTACCTTTAGGACGGCAAAAATGTTAAGGGAAAAGTATGAAAACATGAAAAAGAAGGCCAAATTGTTAATGGCCACACAAAACAACGAAGATATGGAAACATCATCCTGCAGTTGTACCCAATTACGCAGCACAACAATACAACGTTTGGTAGGTGTATTAGCGGAAGCAGCAGCTGCACCCGTAGACAATAGTTTTGAGGAGATCACTAGAGAAAACATAAAGAAAGAAGAAACCTGGAATGATGTAGATATTGAAGCTGAAGTTTTAAACGTTACGCCTGATGTACAAATATTAACGCATGAAAATTGGAAGCCACCAACGAAAAAATCCAAAAAATCCTTAAGATTGAACAAAGCTAAAAAACGTAAAATATTAAATTATGAAAAGGCCACCTTAAGATCAGCTAAAGCCAAATTGAAATTCTTTAAAAATGAAGAAATACGGGCGGCACAACGTCATGTCTGGGAAAGAGAACTGAATGAGAAGCGTTTAAAGTGGGAGGCCGAATTGAATGAGAAAAAACTGGAGTTACTGAATGTACAAATAGAAAAGGAGAAATATCACATGAATTTGTAACAGAACTAAGGCACGGTCATAGGTATGTAAAGTGGTTACCGAGTAATTGTTTTAATAAAAAAATACGTGCCTAAATGAAAACTCTTATAAATTTTTGAAAAAAATCTATATAATAATATAAAAATTATATAACAATTTAATTTTTATAAAATTTATAAAACAATTACTCGGTTACTTGTTTAAAATTCTTCTTACTGAAATATTTAAAACGGTTACTGGAGTACTCGTCTAAAAATGTTTAAAATATGTAAACAATTTTTTGAAATAAACGTTAATTTACTAAAAATAATGAAGAAAAATGATTTTTAACACAATTTGCAAAACGGTTACCAAGTAACCATTATATTTTATTTGGATAATCGCTTGAAAATTCTTAAAATATTTTTGAAAAATTCATAACTTGATAGAAAATTATATCAAATAAATTTTGCTAGATTTTCTAAAATGAGTACCCGAGTACTCGTTTAAAAACTTTTTAAATTTAGTAAACATTTCTATGAAAAATCTATTATTTTCTTGGAAACAGTATAGAAAATTGAATTTAGGGAAACTTTTTTAACGGTTACCGAGTAACCATTATGATGGTAACAAAATAAAAAATCTTTTTGTTTGAAAAACTTAAAAATTTCTTGCAGAAAAATTAATTTTAGTGAACTTTTTAAAACGGTTACCGAGTAACCATTATATAAGAATTGTTTTAAAATTGAAAAATTCTTGGAAATTTTGAAAAATTCTTTAATGAGTTCATAATTAAACAGAATACAATAACAATTTTAGGAATAGGTTGGCTAATGTGAAATGGTTACACGAGTACTCATTTGCAAAACTTTTAAATTTCTTATAAATAATACATAAAAATAACTTGTGATATTTTTGAAACGGTTACCGAGTAACCATGGCAGCAAATCTGTTTAAAAGATGGAAAATTTTGAGAAATTTTAAAAAATTCTTTAACGAGTACACAATTTATAAGAAAATTATAAAATTTTAGGAATTTATGGCAAATATTGAAATGGTTACTCGAGTACTCGTTTGTACAACTTCTAAAGTTTGAAATTTTTTATGAAAAATCGATAACTTTTACGAAAACAATATAGAACACTGAATTTTAGTGAAATTTTGGAAACGATTACCGAGTAACCATTATAGCATAACTCATTAAAAGTTGGAAAATTCCTGTAAATTTTGAAAAATTCTTTAATGAGTACATAATTTAACAGAAAATACTAAAATTTTAGCAATTTATGGCAAATATTGAAATGGTTACTCGAGTACCCATATGAAATTATATTCAAATGTTGGGAATTTTTTTATAAAAACCTATAGTTTTAAATAACAACTTATTAAAAATATAATTTTTTATGAAAAATTTCGTTTTTGAAACGGTTACCGAGTAACCATTATAGCATAACTCATTAAAAGTTGGAAAATTCTTGGAAATTTTGAAAAATTCTTTAATGAGTACACAATTTAACAGAAAATAATAAAATTTTAGCAATTTATGGCAAATATTGAAATGGTTACTCAAGTACCCATGTAAAATTTTTTTCAAATGTTAAGAATTTTTTTATAAAACCCTATAGTTTTAAACAAAAACTTATTAAAAAGTGAATTTTTATGAAAAATTTTGTTCTTGAAACGGTTACCGAGTAACCATTAAAGCATAACTCATTAAAAGTTAGAAAATTCCTAGAAATTTTGAAAAATTCTTTAATGAGTACACAATTTAATAGAAAATAATGAAATTTTTGAAATTAATAGCAAATATTGAAATGGTTACTCGAATACCCATGTAAAATTCTATTCAAACGTTGGAATTTTTTTTTTATAAAAACCTATAGTTTTAAATAAAACTTATTAAAAATTTAATTTTTTATGAAAAATTTCGTTCTTGAAACGGTTACCGAGTAACCATTTTAGCATAACTTATTTAAAGTAAGAAAATTCTTGGAAATTTTGAAAAATTCTTTAATGAGTACATAAATTAATAGAAAGTAATAAAATTTTAGCAATTTATGGCAAATATTGAAATGGTTACTCGAGTACCCATGTGAAATTCTATTCAAATGTTTGGAATTTTTTTATAAAAACCTATAATTTTAAATAAAAACTTATTAAAAATTGAATTTTTTGTGAAAAATTTCGTTCTTGAAACGGTTACCGAGTAACCATTATAGCATAACTCATTAAAAGATGGAAAATTCCTGGAAATTTTAAAAAATTCTTTAATGAGTACACAATTTAACAGAAAATAATAAAATTTTAGCAATTTATGGCAAATATTGAAATGGTTACTCGAGTACCCATGTGAAATTCTATTCAAAAGTTGGGAATTTTTTATAAAAACTTACAGTTTTAAACAAAAACTTATTAAAAAGTGAATTTTTTATGAAAAATTTCGTTCTTGAAACGGTTACCGAGTAACCATTAAAGCATAACTCATTGAAAGTTAGAAAATTCCTAGAAATTTTGAAAAACTCTTGAATGAGTACATAATTTAACAGAAAATAATGAAATTCTTGAAATTAATGGCAAATATTGAAATGGTTACTCGAGTACCCATGTGAATTTTTTTTCAAATGTTGGGAATTTTTTATAAAAAGCTATAGTTTTAAATAAAAACTTATTAAAAAGTGAATTTTTTATGAAAAAATTCGTTTTTCTTAAGGTTTGTTTATTGTTTATATTAAATTAATAAATTAATAATTATATTAAATTAATAAATTAATATTTTATTTTATATACAAAACATATTTTTATTAAATAAAAATTATTAAAAATAAATTTGCTAAATTATAAATAAAATATTTAATAAGTATTTTTTGTGATTTGCAGAAAATTTAAAAGTAATTTAATGATTTGTTAAACAAAATTAACGACTTTTATCGGCAATAAATAAGAAAATCTCAGACATGTATAATTAGATGCCAATTTGTGCAACAAATAATGAAAATATATAAAATAATAGCCCCTTTTTAATTATTATGACCAATTAAATAAACAATATTTTGTATAATTTTGCGACCATTCTCATGATTCAATAAATTCAAACAAGGATCACGTATCTTCTCCTCCAACAGTTTCAACAGTTCATTACGCAAACATTGTATCATTTCGGCGGTTTCATGATTATGCGCTTTTATAATAATCCAACCATCTTCCAAAAGAAACAGGAAATCTCCATCATGTAATTCGATTTTTAAATCGGATCCCGCAAATAAGACCAAAGGAACCAAAGGCAACATACTGCATTCACGTATAAAGATACGTGAAGTTTTCACTTTTTCCTGATACACTAAGAAAGGCGATTGGAAATTGCCTACATCTGAGTTGACCGAGGAGGGATGTATGGCCACATAACCATCTTCTCTTGTCTTAAAGCGTAAATCTCTGGCTGTGGCCAGTTTGGGCATAGCTCCCCCGGCAGTTTGTATATAACTTCTTTCGGGCGTTAATATTTTTACTATATTCGGATAGAGGGAAGCACACAGTAGGGATATAAGTAAACGATTATTGTCGCCATTGAGGTTGAGATCAGAACCCGTTAATTCCAATATATTGTCATGGGCATTTTTACGTTTTCTAGGCACATTAATGGGTACAAAACCGATGGAAACCAAAAGCTCCAGAAATTGATATTTCACTTCTGATATCGTTTGTAAAGTCTTCAAAGACAGAAAATGCTCGTCGGCATAATTGCGACTGGCAAAGAAGTTGCGTTTGGAAACCTCTAACCATTTCTAAAAAAAAGCATAAACAAATTATTAAACAATTAAATCCTCTTCCCACTCAAAACAACTGCTTACCTTATAAGCCAACAAACAAGTCAAATGATCACTATTACACAAAGCATACTCCCTCTTACGCCTTTCTGCCTCTGCTCTCTTATTAAAAGGACTAACAAAGGGTGATTTGTGTGACAAACAGGCGGCTATAGTTAAAATACTATCCAAACATTGGAATATAGCACCAAACAACATTAGCTTGCCTATTCTAACATCTACCGGCAGGGCTGACAAATGATGTCCTAATGGCGTTAATTGCTGCTCTTCATCTAAGGCTCCCACATCCTGTAAACGTGTAACAGCCGCTACAATATTCTCCTCGGTGGGTGGTTCCAAAGTCTGACCCAAAACCTCTACCACATTTAAACCCTCAAAGTTGGGTAAAGTTTTAATGCGCAAAACCAACTGTTCCAAAGGCACCCTATGTATCTCGGGTACCGGCTGAGCCAGGAAATTATATTTAAAACGATGCTGTGTATAGAGGTGTATACAAACACCGGGCATAACACGACCAGCGCGTCCTTTACGTTGATTGGCATTGGCTCGCGAAACATAAACAAGTTCCAGGGATTCCATATTACGATTCGAATCGAAACGTTTCTCTTTCATTAGACCATAGTCGATGACGAAAACACAATCGTCTATGGTCACTGAAGTTTCGGCAATATTTGTGCTGAGTACAATTTTTCTTTTACCCTTGGGGGCGGGACGGAAGACAGCGGCTTGCTCTTCGCTGGAGAGAGTGGAATGTAGTGGTACCAGGATGTAGTTATTAGATCTGAAAGAAAATGTGGAAGTTGTCTACAGGATTACAGATTGAACTATAATCTGGTGTTTAGTTTAGTCTATACTGGACTACTGGACTATAGTCTAGTATATAGTCTGGACTATAGTCTAGTATATAGTCTGGACTATAGTCTAGTCTATAGTCTGGACTATAGTCTAGTCTATAGTATTGGCTATAGTCTGGACTATAGTTTAGTCTATAGTCTAGTCTATAGTCTGGACTATAGTCTAGTCTATAGTCTGGACTATAGTCTAGTCTATAGTCTGGACTATAGTCTAGTCTATAGTCTGGACTATAGTCTAGTCTATAGTCTGGACTATAGTCTAGTCTATAGTCTGGACTATAGTCTAGTCTATAGTCTGGACTATAGTCTAGTCTATAGTCTGGACTATAGTCTATAGTCAGGACTTTACCCTACTCAATAGTTTGGACTATAGTGTTGTCAATAGTCAGGACTATAGTCTAGGCTATAGTCTGGATTATAGACTATAGTCTGGACTATAGACTATAGTCTAGCCAATAGTCTCTAAAGTAGACTATAGTCTGGTCTATTGAGCAGACTGTAGTCTGGTCTTGTCTATAGTGCAGACTATAGTTTTGTCTATAGTGTGTAGACCACAGTATAAAGTCCAAACTATAGCCTAGTCTACAGTATGGACTACAATCTGGTCCATTGTCTGGCCTATAATCTATACTAGACTATAGTCTGGACTATAG